TACATGGAGGTTAGATTATATCCACTCTTTCCTGAGCATTCGCTCGGATGTGTTTGCAGGAGCCAATAATAATAATAATAATAATAATAATAATAATTCATTATTTATGCCCCACCCATCTGGCTGGGTTTCCCCAGCCACTCTGGGCGGCTCCCAACAGAATATTAAAAACACGATAAAACATCAAACATTAACAACTTCCCTAAGCAGGGCTGCCTTCAAATGTCATGCAAAAGTCAGATGGTTGTTTATTTCCTTGACAGCTGATGGGAGGGCATTCCACAAGGTGGGCGCCACCACCGAGAAGGCCCTCTGCCTGGTTCCCTGCAACCTCACTTCTCGCAGGGAGGGAACCGCCAGAAGGCCCTTGGCGCTGGAGCTTATCCAACACTGAGAACTCCTTCTGGTTCGAGTGGGGGCTGTTTATCCATCCTGCAAATCATGTGCTCATTCCACACTTTTCAATGCATTTCCCTGTCACTTTCCTAACTGCAAAATGTATATTTCTTCTTAAACGTGGATGCGTTGCTCTAGGGAAACTGTGCTTTAATCCACTTTAATTGCACAAGCCTAAATTTCCCAGTACGCCTGTTATGTACTAAGCTTGGATCCTAGAGCAATAGGCAAGCAGGATCCTAGAATGCAACAACTGATCAGCTTGCAGGAAAAGACCAATCAGGCTCCAGGAGGGAAGCAGAGTCAGCCAATCAGACGGGACTCATTGTGTAAATAATGTATATAAAAGCCTGAGGTTTGGGGGGCAATTCAATCACTGTTTTACAAGCTGCAATAAAGAGCATGAAATCACTACAGGACTCCGAGTATATTTCAATGCCGTAGAATCCCTACTGCGAAATCCTGCCTGTCTGGAGACCCCCCCAAATGCACAGAATGGGCTGCTAGCAACATACCCCCTAAGAAACGAGTCATACTGCATACCGATCCAGAAAGGAATCGCTTCCACTGAGCCTGAGAACTACAGCAAGAATCTGACCTTCTGGAGAGAATTTAAGTTATTAAACTCTCAGTTGTAGGTCGTTGCTGCTGGAGTGTAACATTCTTTGGGGTGTGGGGGCTTTTTCTGCGCAGACATCAAATTCCTAGCAGAAGAGTGGAATGTATTTTGAATGTGTTTCGGACCTCCTTCAGCTGGTGTCTTCCCGCCTCTGCCTCCCGAAAGCATCCAAGACACAGCTGCAGACACATCGAAAGGTAGTACTGGGCAGGGCTCCAGTTGAAACGGTGCCATAGGAAAGGACCACCAGCCAAGGGCTGAAATCCCCTTCCTAAGCAAAACTTCATAGCCTTAAAACACCGGGTAGGGAGTGTGCATGTTGTGCTGATCCCCATGGAGTCTCTGTTAACAATGATAATTTCCTACAGCCCCCCTGGGGTCTAATTGATAAGTGGAGAGGGTGATTTCCCAACAGTAAACATAGTTTTTCAGCTGCAACTCTGCTCTCCTCCTCTGCTCCAAAAACAATACAAAGCAAAGCCGCTGAACTGCCAGACATTTATTTTCACAGCTAAACATCACTGGGAGCAAGCCAGAAATCTCTGTTTTATTTACTTTGACTTGGATGCTCTATCTAGCCTTGTGGAATAGCCAGCATGCTATTTCTTCTTGAAACCAGTTGGCTGCTACTGGGAGGTCAGGTCACAAAATGCAGAACCACATGGCCGGATGCAGACCTCTTCTTCCAAATGATACTCATACAACCCTGGAAACGGACGTGTTTTATTTATATCCCGCCTGCCTCCCAGTGAAGGACCAAGGAGGCTCACCGCAGAAATTAAAACAGATACAATTAAAGGTAAATGGTAAAGGACCCCTGACAGTTAAGTCTAGTCACAGACGACTCTGGGGTTGCGGCACTCATCTCGCTTGACTGTCCATAGACAGTTTTTCTGGGTCATATGGCCAGCATGACTAAGCCGCTTCTGGAGCAACGCAACACCAAAACCAGAGCAGTGCATGGAAATTCCCGCCAGAGTGGTACCTATTTATCTACTTGCACTGGTGTGCTTTCGAACTGCTAGGTTGGCAGGAGCTGGGACAGAGCAACGGGAGCTCACCCCATCATGGGGATTCAAACTGCCAACTTTCTGATTGGCAAGCCCAAGAGGCCCAGAGGTTTAGACCACAGCGCCACCTTAGTTGACGATACAATTAAAAGAACACAATAAACCTAAACACAAAAAAGCAATTAAATAAGTAAGCCTAGTAAAAGCACCGAAAACACTTTAAACCATTTAAAAGTGCACGCATGTGCAACATCTGGCTTCAGAAGATGTTGCCACAACAGCCAGTTAGCAGCCAAAGATCTATTGCAAGAAAAAAAGGCTTTGCTTTCTGGCAAATGGAAAGCAGGGAGAGATCAGTTCCATATCTGGGAGAAGCCACCATCTGGGAGAAGCTCTCTCTAGACTAGTGTTCTCACCAAACAGGTGGTAAATGGATTTCACAACTGTGGTAGTTTGTACTGAAGTCCAGAAACTGTGGCTATTTTAGGAAGAAAATGCTGTGCTGTGCCGGCAATATAGAACAATGCTAGAAAAATGCAACCTGTGCCACTGATAGAAGTAATACGACTCATGCAACACGTTGGCGACTAATATACACACAATAATTACCAAAATGATTATACATTCTTTATCAATCTTCTGAGAAAAATACAAAACCTTATGCAAAGCCACAGAGACTTGAGAACTACCCAACCTATGATGAACTTATAATGTCTGATTTAGATGGATTTTTCAAGTGCTTAACTCAGTCTTTTGTTTTCTTTATCTTTTTATGTAAGTTCATGAAGATACTAACGAAAGGTAAGTTCGGTGCTGTTCACAATACCCAGAGATGCTAGTGAAGTTGCAGATGGATGTTAATAAAGTTGTAGACAGGGGGCCGGCGTTTTGCACCAGTTATGGTTTTCCCAGTAGTGATGTAGTAGTGATGTATGGAAGTTAGAGCTGGACCATAAAGAAGGCTGATCGCCGAAGAATTTATGCTTTTGAATTATGATGCTGGAGGAGACTCTTGAGAGTCCCATGGACTGCAAGAAGATCAAACCTCTCCATTCTTAAGGAAATCAGCACTGAGTGCTCACTGGAAGGACAGATCCTGAAGCTGAGGCTCCAATACTTTGGCCACCGCATGAGAAGAGAAGATTCCCTGGAAAAGACCCTGATGTTGGGAAAAATGGAGGGCACAAGGAGAAGGGGACGACAGAGGACGAGATGGTTGGACAGTGTTCTTGAAGCTACCAGGATGAGTTTGACCAAACTGCAGGAGGCAGTGGAAGACAGGAGTGCCTGGCGTGCTCTGGTCCATGGTGTCATGAAGAGTCGGACATGACTAAATGACTAAACAACAACAACAAACAACAACAACAGACAGGGTACCAGCGTTTTGCACCTGTTTTGCCCTGGCAGTCCAAGTACTCAAGAGGCCACTGTTTGCCCCTGATGGGGCCCTTTTACTGGGGCTTGCAGGTAGCACACTCCCAAGGTAGTTTTCCGGGCTTCTTCAGTGGTCTGATCTCAAAGCCTTGATACGTATAGCTAAGCAAATCAGTCTCTTAGGCTTAAGCCAAGAAATAGTATTCTCTATGAAACTGAACATCAATATACTTGGACTGCCAGGGCAAAACAGGTGCAAAACGCTGGCACCCTGTCTACAACTTTATTAACATCCATCTACAACTTCACTAGCATCTCTCGGCAATATAGAACAAGCAAATACATGGCATCCAAATACGTATGGCCCATTTTCTAGATTGCAGAGGTATATATACTTGGAAGTTAGTTTTGTACATGTAGAAGTGAGCTGTAGCAATGCAATCTCTAGTGAAGTGGTTTACTGGCTGCAGAACTGCAAACCTCTTGCACACACGGAATCAAATGAGAGCAGCTATTTTTCTCTGCCAAACGCCGGAGTTCTGCAATCCATTTGATTCATTTCACTTCCCCCTTTTCATTGCTGTGGGACTCTGTCTGCTCCTCATCAAAATGGAACCATAAAATCTTAGAAGGGACCCAAGGGACATCTAGTCCAACCCCCTGCAATGCAGGGAATAAGCCACATGTGTAATATAAAACAAGTAAATAAATTTGCATATGTTACGGATGTACTCACCTCCTCCAAAAGGTGCCCATATAACCCTGCGGATAGACTTCACCCAGTCCTCCATGTCATTCTGAGTGCTTGCCATAAGGAGGTATGTTTCATGGTTTGCTGTCATCCGCTCTCTGTCTCCGCCTGTGAGAGAAGAGGGAACCTGCATTAAGGAACACTCGCACTTTGCAACCCAAATTCTCCTATGCAATCCAAAGTGGGTAGCAGTATGGTGTAGTGGTTAGAGTGTTGGACTAGAACCTGGGGGACCAGTGTCCAAATCCCCACTCAGGCCCCATCTCTGTGGGGGAATGGTAGCTCCCTACAGGGCAGATGCGTCCTCAGTCATGACTCTCACTGGGTGACACTGGGCCCATCAGTGACTCCTGGTCTAACCTACCTCACAGGGTTGTTGTGAAGATGCAATGAGGAGGGGGAGAGTCATTTACATCACCTTGAGCTTCTTGGAGGGAGTGTGGGATATAAATGTAATTATGTAAAGGTAAAGGGACCCCGACCGATAGGTCCAGTCATGGCCGACTCTGGGGTTGCGGTGCTCATCTCGCTTTACAGGCCGAGGGAGCCGGCGTTTGTCTGCAGACAGTTTTTCTGGGTCATGTGGCCAGCATGACTAAGCCGCTTCTGGCGAACTGGAGCAGCACACGGAAACGCATTTACCTTCCCGCCAGAGCGGTACCTATTTATCTACTTGCACTTTGTGCTTTCAAACTGCTAGGTTGGCAGGAATAAATGTAATAAATAAAAACAAAAATAACAGAAGCAGAATATCGCATATAAGAAAGTACAGATATAATAATAGAATTGTAGAACTTGGAAGGCATCCCAAGATTTATCTAGTTCAACCCTTTACAATGCAGAAATCTTTTGCCCAGTGTGGGGTTTGAACCCACAACCTTGAGATTAAAAGTCTCACGTTCTACCCACTGAGTTAATCCCAGGTTCAGATAGCAGATTTCATTAAGAACAGATTAAACTTTTCACAATATGAAAAATAAATACACTCAAAACAGAAACAAACAAACAAACAAACAAACAAACAAACAAACAAACAAGAAAACTCTTTTGGTTTTGCTGCAAGAAGCTATCACAGCGCCCTCTCTGGAAATGAAATCAGTGGGGTTCTCAGCCCCTTTTGGCTTAAATACTGGTGTGTGTGTGTGTGTGTGTGTGTGTGTGTGTGTGTTTGAATCTGGAGGTGGAAACAGGGTGGTGATTGTGGTCGTGACATATAATGAAACTTCACATATTTAGGTTGCTCCTAAATGGAATATATTGGCGTACTCCAAGCATTTGCCCATGTACAGTATGTGCACAGAAAATAGCCGATCTTTTTGAAAGGAGATCTGCATTAATAATTGCAGCGCACACCAAACTATTATTACTGTATAATTATAGGATTATTGTATAATCTTATAAAGTTATATAATCTGGGAAGGGGCATGGCTGTAATGACCACGAAGGGACCCTGCAGTTCTGAATTTGGACTTTGTAACTTACAAAGCAGCTCTCTATGCCTTAGCAGCTAGGAAGATTAGGGCGAAAGAATTAGATAAACCCCCTGCAAAAGGGACTCAAGAGATTTAATTTGTATATTTTATATGACAATTACCTCTTACCCTATGTAACAATGCATTTTAGTAGACTTGACGCTGGCCACTAGCCATGGCCTTTGGCTAGTGCAATAAAGTTTATGAGGGTGACTTCTGAATTTGCCACTACACCAAGACTGAAACTGCAAAAGGTATTTGTGATTTAGCTAACATCTGTGTTCCAGCATCATGCACAAGGTAGCAACCGATGAGCAGGAACTAAGCACTCACTGAAGTCCCATACATGGAACACACTCAGTATTGAGGAAATTGGTTTAAGAGTCATCTTAAGACTCACCGTAAACGCACTGCATGAAATGAGTAAACAAATGCCATTCCCAGAAAAGAATAAACCATTAATGGCTGGGGCCTGCCTGAGGGGTGATTTACAGATTCTACAGCAATATCCTGCTCTGTCATCCTACAGTTCTGCCAGGAACATCGGCCGGCAATGACTCCAAATGATAGTTGCTTCAAATGCATTCCTGACAAAGAGAAAAGCGCTATTGGCCACTAAACGGCTCCTTTTACTCAGCACTTCATCTCCGCGAATGGAGCTGGTGTCCAATTTTTCGACCCTCTGATGTCTGTTTGGTTGGATGCTACACAGCAGAATGGTATCGGCGCTTCATATTTATAACCTGGGCAGAAAACGCAACGCTTCTGGCAAATCCCTACCAGGCACCCTGTACATCCCTTTCTTCCACTTACAAAAAGCCGGTTGTATTCACATAGCTACAAAAAGGCACATGTGTGGCTATGAGCCCTGAGAACAGCCATGTGGAGATGCAATCATCCCTGGCAGAATTTCAGAAACAGCGCCCATGCCTTTTGATGCTGCGACAGCAGTGTTATGCACAGTTTAGTAGCTCAAACCACAGGATGCAGCAAGTACTCCTTATGGCACTGCAATGTGGTGAAACAACTAGAAAGCATAACAAAGTAGTGCGCCAAACTGCAGCCCAGAGCCCACAAGTGGCATGCAGACCCATGCAACTGATTCACATCCCATTTCTCTGCTTGAGGAGAAAAGTCCACATTGGCTCAGGACTGCAATATCTTGAGACTGCCTCTTTCCATATGAGCCTACTCGGACCCTGAAATCATTTTCTGAGGCCCTCCTTTGTGTGCCTCCTCCTCGAGAGGTCCGGAGCGTGGCAACACGAGAACGGGGCCTTCTCTGCAGTGGCTCCCCATCTGTGGAATGCTCTCCCCAGGGAAGTTCACCTGGCGCCTTCATTATACACCTTTAGGCACCAGGCAAAAACGTTCCTTTTTAACCAGGCCTTTGCCTGTCCTACATCCCATACCCTTTAAAATGTGGCTCCTTTTTTGGGGGTGGTGGTGTTATTGCATTATTGTTTTTATTTTGATTTTATATATTGCAATCTTTTTTGTGAACCACCCTGAGACCTCTGGGTATAGGGCAGTACATAAATTCAATAAATGAAAATGAATGAATGAATGAACTTTTGTTTTATGGCTAATAGCAGCTTGGGAGGGTTTTTTTTTTTTAAAGTATTGCAGCTGGATAGGGAAGGGTGACTATGTGTTCAACTTGACAGAGGACCATCCTCTGTTTGAAGGGGGTCCTCTATTTGAAGGTCTATCTAGTCCTAGTCTAGTTTAAAGGGAAAGTCGCTAAGAAGGGGCCTGGAAGTTGGACATCAACAGTTGCACACAGGTCACCTGGTTACAGTCTTCCCCGTTATGGTGAGATGCATCAGATGTCTATTTAAATTTTAGCAATCATGTCCACGTTTGCATATATATACTTCTAAATTAGCACACACAGTTTTAATGCAAATATGTGACCTCATCTGTCTTCATTTTTTGGGGGGGGGTGATGTGTTTCCTCTTTGTTTGACAATGCATAATTGGCCCTGAGTGCTCACTGCAAGGACAGATCCTGAAGCTGAGGCTCCAATACTTTGGCCACCGCATGAGAAGAGAAGACTCCCTGGAAAAGACCCTGGTGTTGGGAAAGATGGAGGGCACAAGGAGAAGGGGACGACAGAGGACGAGATGGTTGGACAGTGTTCTCAAAGCTACCAGCATGAGTTTGACCAAACTGCGGGAGGCAGTGGAAGACAGGCGTGCCTGACGTGCTCTGATCCATGGGGTCACGAAAAGTTGGACACAACTAAACGACTAAATGACAACAAAGTTAAAGCTCCTCTCTCTGTGTGCTGCTGCTTCAGTGAAAACATCTCTCTGTGCCTGTTATTAACAATGTAGTTGCTTATGGCTCTTTTAGCATGATGTCAAAACTGACCCTGAAACACTATTTTTTTCCTGGTTGCTAGGTCAGTTTCAGTTCATGCGTCCAGAACCTTTTTACTTCCCAGAATCCCAGTACTGTATCCAGGGCCTCTTTTTTTGGTTACAACCATGATCCTTCGGCACAGTGCAAATGAAGAGAGGTATTGGGTGCAATTTCTTTGCTAATTTCCATCCCACTGAAGGACAGCTGTGCATGAGACCACTGTATTTTAATACTTTGTTGGAAGCCGCCCAGAGTGGCTGGGGAAACCCAGCCAGATGAGCGGGGTATAAATAATAAATTATTCTTATTATGAGCTGGGCATTACTAAAACTCTTTCTATAATTTTTCCTGCTGAAGACTTCTGTGGAACCGAAATGCTTGCATATCTTTACTTTCAATAAGAATTTGGTCCAAGATGGGGTAGAGGAAAAGAAACATTTCTATGTTCTCTGTGCCGTTGAGCCTTGTTTTGTACAATGCTTGGGTTCCTCAAAGAAAACTGCAGACGTCACTCAGCAATTTGGAATGAAGGGGCGTAACTGTCCTCTATTGCTCCCTTCTCTGCAAAGAGGAATTATATTCTTTCTCCCACCCTTAACCCTGAAAAATGGTTTATAAGTAACTCATTCCAGCTGCTTATCCTCTCTCTTGCAAACTCAGATGCACTCCAGTGGTTCAGTAAATAGCAAGTGGAGAGCTGGTGTGCTTCTTGAGCAACGCTGCCTCTGACCAGCTCGGCGTACTTTTGTGCAATCATCTGGCACTGCTGGGATGTGAGCAAAAGTATTTTAGGAACTCCTGCCCAGCAAATGGAAAAGCACAACCATAGACATCAGTGGAGGTACAATTCCAAAGGTGACATGGAGAAGCCTTTACCTGCATTCGCAATATTGTACTTTAGATACAATATTCACAATATTGTACATTATATACTCTGTGCACTGAGCAACAGGAGCTTGTTGAAATGAGCATGGGCTTGTTTCTCAATTTGTCAAGCCCAAACAGCTTCCTTGCATTTTTCCCTCCTGCTGTTAAGCGCACATAGGGAGAAAGTAAATCCTTGTCCAATTTTTAAAACAAAACCAAGCATGATTTTTATCTGCCTGAAAAGGACATGCTTGTGTGTTCTTTGAAGGGACTGACAGGGAAAAAAGGGTCGTCTGGCAACTTAAAGGTGATTTGTTGTTGCATAAGCTGTTTGTGAACTGAAGTCCACATCGTCAGCTGCAAATAAAGGGCTTGGCAGATTATACACGTATCCCTGTGCATATGAATCCAGGAATACTGAGGAACAATTTTGCAAACAGTAGAGCCAAAAGGCCGTGGAATTACAAGACTGTGGCATTTCTAGGCAAAGTTCAAATAGATCCAGTGACCATTCACTAATGTAAAAATGGGTGATGATGACCCATCTTGCTCTCTGGCACCTCACCCAAAGCTGCTCCCCCTTTGAGGTATTTCAGATAATAATAATATTATAATAATTTATTATTTATACCCTGCCCATCTGGCTGGGTGTCCCCAGCCACTCTGGGTGGCTCCCAACAGAATATTAAAAATATGATAAAGTATCAAACATTTAAAAACTTCCCTAAACAGGGCTGCTTTCAGATGTCTTCTAAAAGTCAGATAGTTGTTTTTCTCTTTGACATCTGGGGGGAGGGCGTTCCACAGGGCAGGTGCCACTACTGGGAAGGCCCTCTGCCTAGTTCCCTGTAACCTCACTTCTTGAAGTGAGGGAACCACCAGAAGGCCCTCGGAGCTGGACCTCAGTGTCCGGGCTGAATGATGGGGGTGGAGACGCTCCTTCAGATATACTGGGCCAAGGCTGTTTAGGGCTTTAATGGTCAGCCAATCCAAGCATATAAAGTAAAACAAGTGTCTAGAATTGGGTAGGGAAAACTTTGAGATATTGTATGGCGGGGAGCAGAGCAAGTCAGGGAAGGGGTTGAAGTCTCACCTGCCACTGCTCCACTTGCTCTCTGTTTGCTTTAGCAAGGCTTTAGTTTTGATGTTTTCTTACACATGAACTGTTCCACGTCACTGAGCCCCCCTAGGAACCCCTATTCTCATCCCCTTACATAA